GGTTTGTGTGAAGTTATTATCTTCTTTGGCGCTCCTAACAAATATATACTAAACCTGGTTTTTGCCCATTTAACTGCCAAAACATCTTTCTCTGTCTGACTTTATCTCTTCTCAGTGTCTGTCATAGATCTACTTATGAAATGTACAGATTGCAATCCTTTCGCTGTAAGCTGAAATAATCCTGCGGATAATCCTTCGTAATAAGTAGCTTCCGTTCGTACAGTAATTGGTCTTTTTGGATCGAATTAATAACATAAACGGTACCAATTTTTCTGCACCATTGGCGCATTTCGACAATCAATGTCTCTTCAGTGATTCTCGAGGCCAAAATAATTGAAAATCCAAAGCTTATTAAAAATATGAAGAGCTAAAAACAAAAAAGGACCAAAATGTATAGCCAAAGCCGGGCAAAGAATCAGACCTTTGCATGAGGGAGATACATTCCTTAATTTTAAATAATTTCCAAAATTTTGTAACAGCAAATTTTAATAACATAAAATCCGTATTCTACTGGGCTGGTGATACCCTCGGGGACTATCAGTCCACCAGCAGAGGCATCGACCCAGTGGTAGTAATAACATAAACGGTACCAATTTTTCTGCACCAGATGCGCATTTCGACAATCAATGTATCTTCAGTGATGCTCGAGGCCAAAATATTTGAAAATCCAAAGCTTATTAAAAATATGAAGAGCTATAAACAAAAAAAGGACGAAAATTATAGCCAAAGCAGGGCAAGGAATCAGAGCTATGCATGAGGGAGATACATTCCTTAATTTTAGATAATTTCCTAAATTTTGTAACAGCAAATTTTAATAACATAAAATTCGTATTTTCATTCCAGTACCAAAGTACTGGCTACTGGGAAGGTGATACCCTCGGGGACTATCAGTCCACCAGCAGAGGCATCGACCCAGCGGTAGTAATAACATAAACGGTACCAATTTTTCTGCACCAGATGCGCATTTTGACAATCAATGTCTCTTCAGTGATGCTCGAGGCCAAAATATTCGAAAATCCAAAGCTTATTAAAAATATGAAGAGCTATAAACAAAAAAGGACCAAAAAGTATAGCCAAAGCAGGGCAAGGAATCAGAGCTTTGCATGGGGGAGATACATTCCTTAATTTTAAATAATTTCCAAAATTTTGTAACAGCATATTTTAAAAACATAAAATCCGTATTTTCATGCCAGTACCAAAGTACTTGCTACTGGGCTGGTGATACCCTCAAGGACTATCAGTCCACCAGCAGAGGCATCGACCCAGCGGTAGTAATAACATAAACGGTACCAATTTTTCTGCATCAGATGTGCATTTCGACAATCAATGTCTCTTCAGTGATGCTCGAGGCCAAAATATTTGAAAATCCAAAGCTTATTAAAAATATGAAGAGCTATAAACAAAAAAGGACCAAAAAGTATAGCCAAAGCCGGGCAAGGAATCAGAGCTTTGCATGAGGGAGATACATTCCTTAATTTTAAATAATTTCCAAAATTTTGTAACAGCATATTTTAATAACATTAAATCCGTATTTTCATGCCAGTACCAAAGTACTTGCTACTGGGCTGGTGATACCCTCAAGGACTATCAGTCCACCAGCAGAGGCATCGACCCAGCGGTAGTAATAACATAAACGGTACCAATTTTTCTGCATCAGATGCGCATTTCAACAGTCAATGTCTCTTCAGTGATGCTCGAGGCCAAAATATTTGAAAATTTAAAGCTTATTAAAAATATGAAGAGCTATAAACAAAAAAGGACCAAAAAGTATAGCTAAGCCGGGCAAGGAATCAGATCTTTGCATGAGGGAGATACATTCTTTAATTTTAAATAATTTCCAAAATTTTGTAACAGCAAATTTTAATTACATAAAATCCGTATTTTCATGCCAGTACCAAAGTACTGGGTACTGGGATGGTGATACCCTTGGGGACTATCAGTCCACCAGCAGAGGCATCGACCCAGTGGTAGTAATAACATAAACGGTACCAATTTTTCTGCACCAGATGCGCATTTCGACAATCAATGTCTCTTCAGTGATGCTCGAGGCCAAAATATTTGAAAATCCAAAGCTTATTAAAAATATGAAGAGCTATAAACAAAAAAGGACCAAAAAGTATAGCCAAAGCCGGGCAAGGAATCAGAGCTTTGCATGAGGGAGATACATTCCTTAATTTTAAATAATTTCCAAAATTTTGTAACAGCATATTTTAATATTATAAAATCCGTATTTTCATGCCAGTACCAAAGTACTTGCTACTGGGCTGGTGATACCCTCAAGGACTATCAGTCCACCAGCAGAGGCATCGACCCAGCGGTAGTAATAACATAAACGGTACCAATTTTTCTGCATCAGATGCGCATTTCAACAATCAATGTCTCTTCAGTGATGATCGAGGCCACAATATTTGAAAATTTAAAGCTTATTAAAAATATGAAGAGCTATAAACAAAAAAGGACCAAAAATATAGCCAAAGCCGGGCAAGGAATCAGAGCTTTGCATGAGGGAGATACATTCTTTAATTTTAAATAATTTCCAAAATTTTGTAACAGCAAATTTTAATAACATAAAATCCGTATTTTCATGCCAGTACCAAAGTACTGGCTACTGGGCTAGTAATACTCTCGGGGAAAACGCTTATTCACGGTACTTCCCAAAAACTCATCTTCTGAATATTCTTCTTCACTTGTGCCTTCCATTCTGTTTTTCTTACATTCCTACCTTTATTTCTTTTAATGAGTCGTTTATTCCTAACTCGGTCATTACTCTGGTTTACGGATGTCATTTTCGATTTGCAATCTACAGCAAAATGATTCCATTTCTGACATTTGTTACACTGTCTTCCATAAGCTCCACAATCTTCACGTCGTTCAAACGAATGTGTTTTCCCACAATGATTACAATTATACCTCCTTACATGTCTCATTGTGTGTGTCTCTATTTTGCATGCCGTAATTTCTTTGTTTTCCTCCATAGTTCGACACTTTTGCAATTTCTCCGGCTCTTGTTGTTGCATGTAAATCTCTCATGTCATGTATCTGTAATGTCGTATCTTCTAGCTGGTGTACTTCTTGTAACATTTGATCAAGTGTTCACTTTCTGGTAATCGTTTTTTTGATTAGCGATTCATTATCTGTAGTTTGAATGATATATTCTAAAATTTTGTCATCTTGATTTTCAAACTCACAATTAGCAGCTCTCTCTCGTGGTCGTGTCGCGTATGCCACTGTTGATTGTAAAAGTCTTTGAATATGATAATATTTTAGAGATGCAATAATGGAAAATATAGAAATAAAATACGAAACTAACTAATAAGTAATAATTGGTTCCCTGTTGTACAGAAAAGAAACCAGTTATTAGTATACAAGAATTTTTTCTGGACATATGGTATGTTGAACATGTTGAAGATCGAAGATAACATTTTGTAAATTAAAAATTGGAAATAATTAAAAAAAAAATTTGTTGTGGCGATATGGGAAACATGATTTATGAAGTTTTTTTTATATTTATTAAAAAACATTTTTGGAACGTTATTAAAAACCAAATTTAAAACGTTTTGAAAAAATGTTTTTTTTTTACGTTTATAAAATGTTTGCAGAAACATTTCTACAATAGTTTCTAAAATAGTTTGTGTTTGGTGAGAAAGGACTCGGATTTGTATGCCCCATCTACGATAGTAGAGGGGCATTATGTTTTTTCGGTCTGTGCGTCCTTCCTTTCGTTCGTTCGTTCGTTCGTTCGTTCGTTCGTTCGTTCGTTCGTCCGTCCGTTCGTCCGTCTTTCCCGCTTCAGGTTAAAGTTTTTGGTCAAGTAGTTTTTGATGAAGTTGAAGTCCAATCAACTTGAAACTTAATACAAATGTTCCCTATGATATGATCGTTCTAATGTTAATGCCAAATTAGAGTTTTGTCCCCAATTGCACGGTCCACTGAACATAGAAAATGATAGTGCGAGTGGGGCATCCGTGTACTATGAACACATTCTTGTTTATATCTGTTTTTATACAAATAAAAACAGAAGACGATGGGGTATGTTTGCCAATGAAAAAAAGCTATGGACCAGAGCCAAATGGAGCTGAAGAATATAACTATATAAAGATAAATATAAAAAGCCCGTAAATGACAAAATATAAAATAATTCAATCAAGAAAAACAACTTCATTCATGATTAAGCAATGTTTTCGCGCGTTCTATAGCCTGCTGTACTTCCAATAAACTCCATTTTAGCCAAATATTCCAAAACAATGTCTGTTTAATGATCCCGGAAAAAAAATAAGAATTGAATGCTCTTTTGTGGTAGTTTTTTTCGGGTGTAAAAGCGTTGACCGAATCGTGGAAATCTAAATGTGCGCACGATCAACGCGTTTACAACCCTATAAAATTACAGAAAGAAGCAGATTCAATTCTTATAATAACGTGTTATGATTCAACCACGTAATTACATGTACGAGTTATATCAAATGTTTCGTTTGTTTTTATATGTATTATTGTGACGTTGTTCTGGTGCTTAATTTCCTTAATAGTTGATTACTTTAAGAACAGTGGTTGTATTTTGATCAAATTAATACAAATGATCGATTCGGCGGATCTGTAAGGTTGGCGTGAACTCTTGTCCATTTTAAGGCCTCTGAAAGGGTTTTCTATATTGCAAGGCCCTTTAACAAGCTCACGAAACCTCTTTAAACTTATATTTTCAGCAATGCCTTTGGGCAAAAGCCCCTAGGTCTGGTCGTTAAGCCAGGGTCAGTGAAACCCTGACAAACATTTTTAGATGTGTTTCAAAAGGTTTTTGCTGTATATATAATAGGGCTGTGGAGAAATTATGTTAACAATTTTGGTTTCTAGATAACCATGCCTTTTTTTAAATTTTTTATTAAACAAACCCGCAACACGAAACTTGATAATTAACACGAAAACGTATGTATTGAATAATTGATAAAAAATAGTTTGTATGGCTTGTATTAAACTACAAATGGTGTTTATATACATTTTTATTTCAGTGAAATCATTATCTCACCATAGAAAAGACAGTTTTGTATGCGTGATACTTAGTCATGGACGCGACGGTCATATCCGTTCCTCTGACAATGAAGACGTTCCCTTACTTGAAATAATAGAACCTGTAAAGTCATGTGAATCTTTAATTGGAAAACCGAAGCTTTTCTTTGTTCAGGTAAATATACTTATACCAAAGAGGAACGGTAAGTTATCCCCTGAAGTAACTTCAACTCAGTATACCATTAGGAGATATTGTAGGATTTTGAATGAGTCAAACAAATATGATAAACAACAACAAGCTCAAACAAATATGATTTACAGCAACAAGCTCGAACAAATATGATTTACAGCAACAAGCTCAAACAAATATGATAAACAGCAACAAGCTCAAACAAATATGATACACAGCAACAAGCTCAAACAAATATAATCAAAAGCAACAAGCTCAAACAAATATGATACACAGCAACAAACTCAAACAAATATGATCTACAGCAACAAGCTCAAACAAAAATGATACACAACAACAAGCTCAAGCAAATATGATTTACAGCAACAAGCTCGAACAAATATGATTTACAGCAACAAGCTCAAACAAATATGATAAACAGCAACAAGCTCAAACAAATATGATACACAGCAACAAGCTCAAACAAATATAATCTACAGCAACAAGCTCAAACAAATATGATACACAGCAACAAACTCAAACAAATATGATCTACAGCAACAAGCTCAAACAAAAATGATACACAACAACAAGCTCAAGCAAATATGATTTACAGCAACAAGCTCAAACAAATATGATTTCCAGCAACAAACTCAAACAAAAACGATTTACAGCAACAAGCTCAACCAAATATGATTTACAGCAACAAACTCAAACAAATACGATTTACAGCAACAAGCTCAAACAAATATGATATACAGCAACAAACTCAAACAAATATGATTTACAGTAACAAACGCAAACAAATATGATAAACAACAACAAGCTCAAACAAATATGATCTACAGCAACAAGCTCAAACAAAAATGATACACAACAACAAGCTCAAGCAAATATGATATACAGCAACAAACGGCAACCACACGAATTATAAGCTCCTGACTTAGATGTTAATAATCATTAAGTCTTTTAATCTTTATTTGTAATGTTTTTCTTGTCAAAAATACAACAATCATAATTATTATACATTTAACTTGCAGTAGATTTACTGTTTATCGCCATCTTTGATTGTAAAATACCAGTACACAATCACTCTAGTTCTTTGATTAATTTGCAAATTTCAGACAGAATGGCAATTTATCTGTAAGACTGTATTTTACTCCACTAGCGTGTTGTATGAGCAGACTTATAATATGACAAGACATCTTTTCATTTAGGCTTGTCGTGGATCAAAAACTGACAACGGAGTTTGGACCGATGCTGCAGAAGATATAAGTGATGACAATTTAAGGAAACTATCGTTACACTCGAATTTACTTGTATCTTATGCTACAATCGAAGGTAAATATTTATCATTAATGTTACAACTCACTAGGATAAATATTAATTTGCACAACTTTGGTATTCGTGTTCTCTTTACCAATAAAACATAAATACATACATAGTAATACATACAAAAACAATGTCTCTTTTAAGCCTTATCTGAATTCGGTTTATTGATTTTCATGCAAGACTACATAACTCCTATCAAACTTGTCCTAATAGCTTGTTTTGATATTCACACAGTACTAAAAGCATGTCACAATATTATCGCATATAGAACCAAACTTAAATGCTAAAATTCATTCAAGACTGTTCATCTCCTATTACCAATACATTACTGAATTGATTGTACACGTAAGATATACATCCTTAACAATTCAAAGGCTACATTACAAAAAAGGGACAAACTAAAAACCCAAAACCGTCTATTAGTAATGTTAATTTTTGCTAAGAGAGTTAGACATAAGTTTGTTTGTGTTTTCATAACTTATCGGCGGAAAATTTATGAAATGTAAAAACTCACGCCAGTGCAGACGCATTATCAACTAGGCTTATGAAACCCTAGGAACTAACAGTCCAACCGTAGATATATCGACCTCGCGATGGAAATAAGAATAACGATTTGTACATTTTGAATGACTGCAGTGCTTTTCTGTGTTCACATTCGTAAAGAACTCGCAACGGGAAAGAACGTATAAATTCTTGAGGAGCTACATGTCGACCAGTTAAGACCTGAACAGAGCATGTGCTTTCTAAAGTTGAAAAATTAAAGCAGACATTTTTTTATAAATACAGACATGGTGCAACTGTTCTTCTACCTGTAGTCAAAGTCACGTGTTCATTATAGCTTTACATATAGCATGTTTATTACTATAACTAGTTGGATAGTCGGGATAGAAGCAACTGTGTGTATGAATGTAACCTTTAACCTTGTTTTCTTTACACACAAAAAAGACATGTCACACATGTTTCATATCTGAATGCATAAAATACACACATATGTTGCAGACTTTGTTGCATACAGGAATGGCAAGGACGGGTCTATTTACATAAAGATTTTATGCTATCTACTAGACAAAGAGGGCTTTACCACAAAGCTGACAGATATATTAAAGAAAGTGAATAGAATGACATTAGATGCTTTTGGTGACTCATCCGTATGCCAGGTTCCTAGTTTTACATCAACACTTCGAAAGTCTGTGTTATTTAAGCAAAAGCAAGAAAAGAAGGCACGTTCTACATTTAAATAACCAGTTGTTTTATATGAATTCATATTTAATCATTTGATTTTTTTGTTGTTGTTTAAATATTTATTTAAAATATTGTAAAAATGATCCATAGATAGCCTTTAACCAATTTTGAGTTTTTGTTGCCTATTAGAATTCAAGGTAGCCACCACCACTGAACACAATTTAATTTATGAGCTTTCTCAAAGTTCAGCACTCTTTATTTAAGGAAAGTGTTTATGTGGGTGAAAATATACAAGCGACACATCAGTATACATTGTATATACCAGGTAAAGCACATGGGCCTTGGGAAATAGTTTTATTCCCAGCATTGTCTTCGGATATATATAGAGAGATCATTTAATGTTCTTAAATAACAATCCTGAGCTGATCTGTTATAAGATGACACGGCAGCTTACTCTAGGGAAGTTTTTCGGTAGAAAAACAGAAAGCTAATTTTACATCATTTTACGTCTGTAAATGGCAGTATACTGAGAAATTCCATAAGCAAGTGCAAAATTTTAGAAAGTTGTTGTGTCTTTCAGACAAGTATTATAGGATGGTCACTTGCAAAAAAGGCAAGTTGTTTAAAAACAAATCTATGTCGAACCCTGCACACAACGCCAATTTTGAGCTTTTGCTTCTTATCTAAAAAGGCAAGTTGACCGTCCCAGTTGAACACAGTCTGACATGGAACCCTACGTGAAAGACAAAGAAATATCTCAAACAACATCTGGAGGGGGCACAACCAATATATAAACTCGGTGATGACAACACTGTCAAATATACTTACACAAATTTAACAATTACTATCCACACTGATCTGTGTCCACACTTGTTGCTCTAATAAAGATTTTATAACTTTATCAAGTGTAATACACTATTAACACTCTAGAGACAGTTACATTTTCAAATTTAACACCAGAGGCTTGCCGAGCAATTTCAATATCTGCAAAATTTAACTGTCGAACATGGATAAATATCTTATCATTTTTAGACGCACTTTGTTTTTCTGTCAATGATCTGCAAAAAGATGTTTTATTTTTCATGCGCGACGTTATCATGTATGTTTGGATTTTTTTTCCGAGAATTCACAATTCCAAAGTCGGTTGAAGGCGAAAATTTGACGTCATAATTGAATATTTTAACCAATGAAGAACTGAGTTTAAACGAATCAGACGTTGATTATTAACCCGTCGGGAAAAAGTATAAACCGGATAAGAACTAGAGAACTATAATTATCTTTTTAATTAATTTTGATATCTTTCTAACTCATGAACCATAATATTTATGAAAACATACTATTACTGGTTTCCTATGGCATATATTGATTTTGTTCTCAAATAAAGAATTAAATACACCAATCTACTATATAATACACGTGGCAGGCCTTTTTTTCTATAGTTTCTAATGGATTCTTCTGAAACACTTCTTTAATTAATATTTATTATTTTTTAGATTGTGAAGAAGAAATATTACTATAACGATGGAAGTCGTCGAGTTGTTAATGTTGTGAACTCATGTACAGAGAACAACGTTGAGACTTCAACCAATTGTGATTCAAGTGGCTCAGAATACGTGTGAGATAAACTACACACAGGCTTTGCATACTTTATACATGTTAAATGAGGAAAAATATCAGTTGTTTACAGGTTTACAGGTGTATGATCAAAAAATAATCTTTATTTGCTTTTATTTATATTCTTGCGGGTAGAACGTTATTTTATTCGGTTATTCATGAACAATTGGTAAAATATAAGATTCCTGTAATGATAACATATTATTTAGAAAAGTTATTGGACCAAGTATCAGTTTTGTAGGTCCAAAAAAGAGATTTTGGTAGTACAGTGTACCTTAATCCACATTTGTAAGCGGATTTTCTTCTCTTTTTTCCCTCTGTCTTTCTCTTTCATTCATTCTAGTTAAAATGTATATCCAATGGAATTGACATCTTTGGTTATGGCATTGTTTTCCATTCATTAGATATATAATATTACAATGAATTATCTTTGTGTTTTGAAAACAATGGAAACAAAGTCGCTTAGACATTTTGTTCTTCCACATGTTACTTTTAATCCAATGTTATGTTCTATGTGTGTTTGCTATTCTTCGTACAATATGTTGCCTGTCTTTAATGTTGTTAACTGTCTCGTTTTTGGTGTTTTCTATTGTTTATTAATTGTACATCTGATTGTAGTTCTTTTTTTATATTTTCAAATGCTCAAATACCACCGCCTGTGATCACAATGTGCAATGTATACACTTATACCAAACTCATTAAATATCCGTCTAAAATAAATTTAATTGATAAATTCAAAAACACTAAGTCTTATGGTTACTACGATGATATGTTAGTGTTAAATAATCAGGAATTCGCTTATATACTTTCGAAATTTACCAAAAGGGAAATAACATTAAATAAGGAATATAAACAGCAAAAAAATGTCCTTTCCTACATTTAGATATTTCAGTTTAACAAGGGAAATGCTATCAAAGATTTTACGACAAACGAGACTATTTTCCGTTCCTTATTGTTAATTTTCATTTTTTTTTGGACGGAAATGTTCCTTTGTTCCCAACTCGTTGGCTATGTACGTGTCTGTAAAAAAAAGTCGGGAATTTCGTTACCACCAGTTGTATATAAAATTAGCATGTTTAGATTATAGAAAAAAAAACAGTTAAGTGCTCGTCTTTGCTTGTTTAATGACGAAATTTCAATCAATATCTAGTTATTAAAAATCTAAAATCAACAACTAAAAATGTGAATGAAACGTGCAAACCAGGAAAGCTGAATGACGTCAGTTATTTTATTTTTAAAATTTGATAGGTCCAACATCATCTATGATGATTGCAGCGATGCTGTCAATAGACAAAATGTAAACTGATTCAAGCAAAGAACTTGATATTATTTAGCTAAATTGTACTCGTAATTCTATATACATGTAGAATTGTTTAAAAGGACTCCAAAAACGAGTATTTCAGTTCTCTATGTTTTTGGTAATTTAACCATTTCCGGATCCATTGTATAAAAAAAATTAATCAAAGTGTGCTTGCCGATGATCTCAGAAGATGATTGGATGAGTTTAAGGGTCATAAATTAACCTTTGTCACCTCACTGGATGAAACAAAATGTGCTAACAGGTGTTAATGAAATTGACAACATTGTGGAATGTGGAAGGCAGTCAACGGGGATTTTTTTTATATCAAAAATGAAAATTTGTTTGATAATTATTAGAGAAACAGATTCTTACATAGTTTCTCTTGGAATATCGGATTTATCCAATCTCGATAGTTAAATTATCAATTTTAAAGTCCTCGCCGAGGCTCAGACTTTAAAATTCGACAATTTAATTATCTCGATTGGATAAATCCGATAATCCACTGGTACCAATGTAAGAATCTATATGTAAACGAATGCAGTGTAAAGAGTTGATATTTGATTTTTCACGTGGAAAAAAATGGTCGTTTTTCAACAAAACAGATTTGATATTCGTGCTATTCTGATTATTCAAGCCATTTCAGACTGATTTTTACATTTTTTTTCTTAAGTTGTGCTGTTTCACCACTGTCCCATGTTGGGGAGGGTTTGGCGCTTACACAAATGTTTCACCCCGACACATTCTATATGTCTCAAGTCCGTGTAACTCACTGGTTGTCGTTTGTTCCTGTCTTTCATATTTGTCATTCTTTTATTGTTTTATTTATTTTTTTTAACTATCATTGCATAGTTGTCTCATTAATTAGTAATTATTATAGATCAACTTATTATAATTAAGGCCGTCGGTTTTTTTCTCGCCTTGACAGAGTCAAAACGCATCACCTAGATATGCTGTTTCTGATTTATAATTAGTTCAATTTAAGTAGAACCACGAAAATCAATGATATATGGTATACAGCTGTATGAGTTTTGCCTCATCTCATTTCCATGGAGATTATTTTAGCCCGCCTCCTCAGTCAAGATCTGTTGACTTTAACACAATTGCTTAGTTTAAATGTTAAAGTTTGTGATAAGGTAATTTTCAGTAGAACCACTTATGGTTAGTCAGTGATATTTGGTATGCGTTGTAAAAGCATGAGCACATCTCATTTGAAATTAGTTGGCACTGCTTCTTCAGTCATGTATATTCACTATGATACAATACAATACAATACAAATATGTTTATTATAGTGACGTTGTGTATAACAAAATATGTACAATATTGAAATATTTCAATTAGATTACACCCGGCCCAATGGACCTATAAGTCACTCTAAATAGATACTATAGTCACTGTATTAATTCAGATTGACATCAGGGATTTTATATACATGTTAATTATTTAAATATAAGTGTTGTCTGCGTTTTGTTAATGACTTTCTAAGTATCGAGCTGTTTTTCGAGGATATTCAGACAATAATAAATTTAACTTTTCACTGTTATTCAAATTCAATACGGTTTCACTATAAGTCCAGAGAATAATTGATTACGTAGTCCATTGTATGAAACTTTTGAATGGTTTCATGATAAAGTTTGTGATAACGACAGTTTGAGGGAGACCACTTATGATTGGCCAATGATATATGGTGTACAGTTGTGCGGGTGTGGCATGTCTTATTTCCACAGAAATATTTGGGATTCGGTCATTGTTCATTGACTTTGAAAATTTGCATATTTTACATGTTAAAGTATTGCAATTTCAATATCAAAATTTGAATTTTACTATCAAAATTGAGTACATGCGTCACGCATCTGCGTGTCAACAGTTTATTTCTATACGATATTGGCGTTGCTCGTTGTTGAAGGTCGAACTGTTACCTACATATGCTTAAATCCACGTCGTTTGGACTCTGTTGGATAGTTGTCTCATTAGCAATCTCATACTCCTTATTTTATATTATTCTCTATGTATAACCATGCATATATCGTTGTATATAATAGCTTCATAATATAGTATTTAATTACCATAATATAATTAATATATAACAAATATATATAGCAATTATTCAATTTAGCAAATAACGAAAGTGTAGTCTGTTAAGAGTG